TTTTGCGAATTTTGTTTGTATTTCGAAGATTTTCTTTACGATTTCTTTGATTTTATTTTCTATTTTGTTGTATGTTTCGTTGTTCAGTTTGATCGTTTCCCTTATGAGCATCAACTGTTCAGTTTGGATTTCTTGTGTTCTCTCGGTTTTATTTTTCAGCGTGTTTATTTTCTCGTCGTATTCTTTGGCTGAGTCTGCGTCCATGACACCAAAAACCCAGTTTAGAATTTTTCCACCCAAATTAATCAAACCCCTTTTTTCTCTTTTCGTGATTTCGACTTTGTATGAATTTATGTCCGCTACATCGCTCTCCATGTAATTCAAGTGATGTTTTAGGTTTTGCATTACGAGTTCGCAATTTGACGGTTTTATGAATCTACACAAACTTTCCATATTTTCCATGCATTGACCGACTTTGTCTCTCATCTGCAGGTAATTTTCAATGTTGATATGGTAAAGTATCGTGAATGTGTCGTATGATGTTCGTGCCCGTTGCAGGGTAGTGAAGATTATTCCCGTCTTTTCCGTTTTTTCGGTGAATTCGAACGCAATTGTCGAGATTGTCACGGCGATGATAATGATGAGTGTAGTTTTCGCCATCGTGTGTTCGGCCTGAAAGTGATATTTTGTATTAGTTTTTTGCTCGAATGTTGCTGAGTGACAAAAAACATGTATTGTTTCTCTTAAATTGGTTTGATGTGGTGATATATTGAGTGATGGCCGTTGAACGTTTGATGATATGATTTGATTTGGTGTGGTGACGATTAATGTCGATTATGTTCCTATCCATGCGATAATTTCGCTCTCGTTCATTGCAATTATTGGTAGATTCATTGGCAGTTCGGTGTTTCGAGTTGCCAATGCTTTTTTGACTAAATTTTTGTGTACTTTCATTTTTCTATTGTCTTTCAAGATTTCTATGTAGCTGTCTGATACGTCGATAACCTTGAATGGTCCATTGTAGGCTGGTGCGAATTTGTGTGACTTTGTTTGTGATTTAAGCAAAATCATGTCGTCTACCCGAATGTCGATTTCTCTTGTGTTTTGATCGTATTGTCTTTTGTTTATTATTTTTCGGTTTTCGAGCGCCTCTTTGGCCAGTTGCAGAGCGTTTGTTATGTTCTGTCTTGTATTTTCGGCCATGTTATCGTAATTGTAGCTTTTTTGTCTTGTGAGGCTATTCGGTATCTGAATTCTGAAACCGTGAGCTAGTTCGTGAGGTGTGTAGCCCGTCGTCGTATGTGTTGTATTGTTGTATGCGAATGTTGCGTATTTCAAGGCGCGATTCCACACCGTTTGATTTTTTTGTGTGAAAGATCTCATATAAACATTCAAAGTACGATGCTGGCGTTCAACGACGTTGCTTTGAGGGTGGTACGGTGTGGTGAAGGTCTTTTTGATTTGTAATAATTTATTCAGTTGTTTGATTACCTCAGAATTGAAATATTGGGCGTTGTCCGATATTATTCGTGATGGGAAATTGTATCGCAAAAGTACATGTTCCAAGAGGCATTCCGCTGTTGTTTCGGCCGTCATGTCGTGCGTGGGCACGGCTATGATTAGCTTTGTTAAGTCGCAGGTTGCCGTGAAAATGTATTTGTGTCCGTCGATTGATTGCGGTGATATTGGTCCGACGTAGTCGATATAACAATGATCGAATAGTACATCACCAAGGCTTGATATTTGCATGGGCATTTTTACGTTTGTTGTGTATTTGTTCTTTTCGCAAATTGCACAGTCGTTAACATATTTCTTGATGTCTTTTTCCATGTTATTCCATCTGTATCCCAGCCTTTTTATTGTGGTGAGTGTTTTATCTGCCCCAAAATGGCCGCCCAACAGTGACTCGTGATATAATTGGAGGATCTTTGTGATGTCCTCCATTGATGTTATTTCGATGATATTGTTTGTGAATAGGTTTACACTGATGTTGCTTTCCCTGAAAACGTTAGCGATTACGCTTTTGGCGTGTAGTCTGTCCTGCAAATTGTCGCAGTCGATATTTATCGCTATACTTTCCGCCGTTTGTTCTTGGCATATTTTGAGTGCATCTTTCATACGCGTTTTCAGCTCGTGTGTAATTTTTGTGAATTTGTTTGACAAGGAACAAACGTAGTGATCGTTGTTTATATTTATCCATTCGGATTTTTTGTCAAATTTTCCGAATTTTTCCCCCAGTTTGTTTCGTAGTGTGTCGTTTTCTGTCGGAACCATGTGGAAAATGGCGTCATATCCCCGTTTGTTGAGGATCGTTCCGCTCTTTTCTATTAGTGTCCAGACGTTCTCTGATTGTTTTTTAGCTTGTGCTCGCGTAATTGGGTGGCAAGCGTGTTCTTCTCCTTTTTCTTTCAATAATTGTTTAATTACGTTGAATGTTTGGTTCTTTTTCTCGATTTCAGTGAGTTCCTCGACTGAAAGTGGTTCCATTCTTGATAATGCGTCTGCGACGGTATTCAGTGCGCCCGGTCTGTGGATTACTTTGAAATTGTAATCCATCAGTTCGATTTTCTGTCGAAAAAGGCGCGATCCGCAGTCTCGCATGTTGAATAGATAGCACAATGATTTGTGGTCGGTGATCATTACAAAGAATCTGCCCCATACATATTGTCTGAATGTACGAACACATTCGACCATTGCCAGGAGTTCTTTGTGTGTTGTTGAGTATCGTCGTTGAGTTTCGTTCAGAGTTCTGCTGAAGAAACAGATTGGTCTATCGTTTGGTATGTCTCCCTGCGAAAGTTGACCGCCGACGGCATAGTCAGATGCATCTGTTGTTATGTAGAATGTTTGTTCGAAATCTGGAAACGCAAGCGTGACATCTTCGATGAGTGCCCTTTTCAGTTTATCAAAAGCTTCCTGTGCTAAATCTGACCACACGAATGGTTGGTCCTTTTTGCACAGTCGCGTTAATGGTTTTGCGATATGCGAGTATCTCCGAATGAATCGTCGATAATAATTGCATATTCCCAGAAATGATTGTACCTTTTTCACATTTTTCGGTGTTGGGAAGTTTTTTATCGCTTCCACTTTTTTTGGGTTTGTTCGAATGCCGTCTTTCGAAACCAGGTGTCCGAGAAATTCGAATTCTTTTGCATAAAATTCGCACTTTGATATTTTCAGTTGTAAATTGTTTTCTTTGAGTCTTTTCATGACCTCCCGTAGGATTTGGTCGTGTTCATCCTTTGTCTTTGCGTATATGATGATATCGTCTAGATAAACATATGCGCCGTGGCCAATTAATTCCCAGAGGATTGTGTTAATGGCTCGCTGCCACGTCAGTGGTGATGTTGCGAGGCCCATTGGCATTCTCTTCCATTTGTATTGGAACCCGCATGCCGTAAATGCCGTGTAATTTTGTGACTCTTCTCTGAGTTTGATTTGATGGAATGCTCCCTTGATGTCGAGTTTTGTGAAGTATTTGCTGCCGCCCAAGCTGTCCAGAATTTCCTCCACTCTTGGTATGGGGAATATTCTGAGTTGTGTCATTTCATTCAACTTTCTGTAATCGATGACGAATCTCAAATCGGTCTTGTCGCCAAAGTCGTCCTTTTTGGCTACCAATATTACTGGAGAGTTGAATTCGGATTGGCATTTTTCAATCAGGCCCTGTCTTTCGTATTCATTGATCATTTGTTGTAGAATTTGTTTGTGGCTGTGTGGAATTCGATATTGTCTTACGTTTACTGGTTTTGAATCGGGTAGCAACTTTATTTCGTGTTGGGTGACTTCTGTGCATCCCAATATGTCGCCATCCATGTAGAATTGCATTGCGAAATCATTGCATATCTTTTTGATATTTTCTTTCTCTTCTCCTGAGCAATGATCCAGGTTTAGTTTTGCGTAGACCATTTCGGCGCGCTGTTCCGCTTTGTTAATTTTTGATGTATTGGTGGTTTCTGCTTGTATGTTGTCATCCCGTCTGATTTCGTTGCAGTTTCCGTTGATTTTTGTTTCGATTATCTGTGTGACGTTCGGTTTTCTCTTTCGTTTGCTCTTTTTCTGTTTGTTTTTGTTCGAGTCGTTCACGTCTTCTTCATATTCGTCGTACACTGTATGAATATTTTCGCCGAAATTTCCCTCGAAACCATCGGCATCTAATCCGTTTAAACCGTTTTCCAGTATTTCGTTGGTTTTGGTCTTGAATGTTCTCAAGGCCTCCCATTTGATGTGCTTTATCGATTCGTTTTGTTTTTCGTTTTCGCTCCTTTGTGACATTTCTTTTGGTTTTTTGGTTTTTTCATTCGATTTGTCGTTGTTTTTGTGTTGTTTTTCTTCTTTTTTGTTTGTTTTGCGTATGGTTCGCTGTGGTTCAATTTCCTGGCTTTTCTTTGTCGCTTCTTTCGATTTTTTCTCGCGTTTTTTCTCTTTTTCTGAACTTGTTTGCGTCTTTTTTGTGTCGCATATTGCATACGCATCGATGCCCTGTGGTTCAATTACTGTGAGTTCGTTCTGAACATCCTCGATTTCACCCAATCTCAGTGTTAGTGTGCATTTGCCGAGATCGATTATGGCTCTGTATTGGGTCAAGAAATCGAATCCCAAATAACCATCTGCGTTCCCCGTGTATTTCTCATCGATTAGGTGAAGTGATGTGCCAATTTGACAGTCACCGATCATAGATGTTCCGCTAACTATTCCCGATGTTTGTATTGCTGCCGCGTCTCGTCCCGGCAAGCCATATAAGTTAATCCTGTAGTTAACGAACTTTTTGATGTTTGTGATTGCGCCCTGTGCGACCAAACTTAATGTGGCTCCAGTATCGACGAGTAGTTTTAGTGGTCGATTAGAGAGATTTGTTTTCAACAAAATGTATGGTGATTTTCCTTCAAAAATCAATTTTATTGTTAAAGTTTGTGGTTTGCTTACAAAGACTTTCTGCATTTCTACAATTCTACTTATAGTTTTCTGTTGTATTTCGTCGTTTTCCGTCAATTTAAAATTCACTGAGTCGATCTGTGTCTCTGTGGATGGGTCCTTACGACCATCATGATCCATCCCCTCTAGTTTTCCGATTTTTCGGATGATACCGATGATGCCGATGATGCTGATGATGTTGATGAGTCATCCTCGTCTTGGCTGGATCCGCTTCCCTCTTCGTTGACGAAAACGTTTTGTTGCTGGCCGTTGGTTTTGCCGCTCTGTCGGTTTCCACCGTTATTATTGTAACCGCCGTTCCTGTTTCCGTTTCCGTTGCGGTTATCGTTGTTACCATGTTGATTGTTTGTTTCGGAATTCTTGTAGGTGTTTCCACTATAATCGACACTTTTTCTCTCTTTGAAGTTTTTGTATTGGCCGTTGTTGTAGTTTTTGTTGCTGCTCTTTATTCCAAGAGCCTTCGCGATTTGGCCTGCGATGTCTTTTGATCGTTCGTGTTGTCTGCAGTCGCGTTCGCGGTGACCGCTTCTGTTGCAGTTCAAGCAATACATTTCTTTTTCTGGTACGTCATATCTTGTTTCGTTTTCCATTTCAAGCGCTGATGATATTGCACTTTCCAACGAACTGGCTCCTCTGATTGACATTCGATCTCTGATTTTCTTTTCTTGTATGCCCTTTATGAATGCTCTTCGGGCCGTTCTGTTATGATCTTCTCTCTGTTCTTCAGAGATGTTGTCGTATGAGCTATTTTTTTCCATCAGTGTTTTCCTTGCTCTTTCGGCAAATTGTTGGAGTGTCTCTTTGCGTTCTTGATGCAAATTTTCTAGTTTGCTGTTGATGATGTCTCGGTCAGCCAAATGTGTGAAACGCTCTTTTAATGCGTTGCGTATTTCGTACCAGTCATTTTGGACGTGTTGTAATATATCACGCGCTTCACCACGGAGATTGTATTTTACCTGAAAGTAGAATTCGTCCCTTTCGGTTTCGTTCAAACATTCCTCCATGAATAGGTCGCCGATTTGAATGAAATCTTTTAGCTTTTGTAGGCTTTCGCCCGAAAAATTCGGCATTTGTCGCAATTTTCGAACGAATGTGTCTCGTGCGCCATTTGAGGAGTTTCTGTTGTTTCTGTTATCATTTCGTGAACTAGCCATTTGCGAGTTGGTTATTTGCGTATTGGCCATTTGTTCTTGCAATCGTCCCATTTGTATGAGTAATTGCATCATCATGTTTTGTGATTGATCCCCGATTTGTGATTCGACTTGTTGTCTTGACGGATCAAACCAGTTTCCCCGTGGATCATTTCCACCGATATTCATTTCCGCTGTGTTTCCAGCCTGATTTCTTTCATGGGCATGCCGTATATCAGGTGGACCCATACATCTTTGGCGTTGGAAATCGTTGAGGCTATCTCTTAGCATGTTTTCTCTTTCTTTCGTTCTTGTCAATTCTTCTTTCATTAGTCGAGCCTGTTCTTCCATTTGGTGCATTTGCATCCTGAATCTCTCTTCGCGTTCTCTACTTGCTCTGTCGTGGAGTTCACGTTGTTCGCGTTGTTCACGGACCCATTCTTTGTATTGGCGAGCTCGTTCGTTTATTTCGTGTTGTTCGTAAGCTCGACGTTTTTGCTCTTCGATGTCTTCGTGTTCGCGCTTGTGATTCAAGTTGTGTTTTAACTCGAATTCGTTAATTCCGTTGTTTGGTTTTTGTTCGAAGTGTAATTCGGTGTTGTTATTGTTGTTTGTTTGAGTTTTGCGTTTTGCTCCCCCCCATTCGTTTCCATGTTCGGTGAATTCACGATGTACTTTTTCATGCGATCCGAATGTCGGTGGTTGCTCCGAGAATGTTTGGTTATGTGGTGTGTTATTATCGTCCATGTTTGTTTTCAATGTAGACATTGATTGGTGAGGAACACCCGGTGGTGTGAATTGACGACTTGTTGGATTTTGGTCGTTTGGGTTACCGATAGATTGGTTAGGGGCACCGGGTGGTGTAAATTGACGATTTATTAGTGTTTGATCATTTGGGTTGCCGACGAATTGTTGAGGGACGCCTGTTTGTGTGCGATTTGATTCCGCCATTTCCCGTGTTGATATGTCAGTGTTGTTATCTAAGCTTTCGATTGAGTTTTCACTCGTATTTTCACCTGGGTTTTCGTCCCGAGTTCGATTTGTATTAAGCACTCTCGACGTGAATTGGTTTAGTCTTGATCTTGGGCCCTTTTCGGGTTTTGACAGTTCTTTTTCGATTTGCTTTAGTCTTTCTTCTATTTCTTTTTTAGTTCCCCAATTAATTTGTTGGGTTTGTTTTGATTTCGATCGTGTTTCACGATGTAAGCCCAAGATGATGTTTAGTTGTTGTTGTAGATGTTTCTTTTCTTGGCGTAGGTATTTTTTGTTTTCACTTCCCGTTTCGTCGATCACTTTTAATTTATCGTTGAAAGTTACCCTTGACATGGATACTGTTTTTTTTTTTTTTTTTTTCTTTATCAAGAGTTGAATTGGTTGTAGTGGTTCTATGCGTTGAAGCAATGGATCGTGCGAGAATTTTCCGCCAATGATGCACCCGTATCGATGATACACCCCAGTTTTTTTAGAATAACGTGATTTAATGCACCCGTGTCGATGATCCACTTTGATTTTTTGAAAATTACACCGTTTGATGCACCACTATCGATGATAAACACCCGTGTTTCGCTTGAATTGTTCATTTTTGAAATGTTCAGTTATTTGTGTATAATGTTGATTAGTTATTAAAATATGTAATTTGAGGATGTGTGAGGAATGTGTGAGATGAGATTTTTTTTTTTTTTTGTAATTTGTTCCAGTTAGCAACAAAATGATTCATATGGATTTTCGCCAGTCATCGAAATTTTTCCGAAAATGAAGTGGAAAGAAAAAAAAAAAAAAAAAAAAATGATTGAAGTCTGGAGTATATTTCTCCCCCCGTTACGACCGCCTTGACTTTGATTTAAATATATTTTAAATAGTTTACGTTTAGCGGATTGTTGAGAAAATGAATGCGGATGTTATTTTGTCTGTGATTTGGCAACGAATGTTTTGGAATTTGGATGGATTCTTCCCATTTCATTTGTTTTTAGAATCCATTGTTCGAAATCTCTTCACGAATCAGATTGGTTTGAAAGCTTCGGTTCTACTCACTTTGTTTGTTGTGGTACGGTGATTGGAATTTTCCGCCAGTACGTTTGTTTGGTCCGCTTTGGTATCGCCTTTCGCCACACGTTCAACTGTCTGTTCGTTTGTTCGGTGAAGCAAGAATATTCTCACCGGTGAAATTTCCCCGTCCAATTTTTTCACCAGCGAAATTGGTTGCGAAAAAAAAGAATTGTGTAGAAAATGAAAATAAATTTCGTTGATTGGCCGGTGTGATGAGTCTTTTTTCTCTCGATCGAGTTTGCTTTCTTATCGTTCGTAATTGATCGATTTGCAGGAATTCCAACTGATCCAGTTTTCTCTTTCGCCTGTTTTGACTTTGGTTCGATTGATTTATTTGGAAATTTCCCCGCTCAAATTACTCGACGAATCGATTATTGTCACCAGTTCTCTCTTTCGCCTGTTTCGATTTTGTTTTATTTTGAAATTCCCCTGCTCAAGTTACTCGACGAATCGATTATTGCCACCAGTTCTCTCTTTCGCCCGTTTTGACTTTCGTTCGATTGTTTTATTTTGACATTCCGCCGCTCAAGTTACTCGGCGAATCGATTATTGTTATCGTGAGGATTGGAATTTCCGTGTGTTAATTTTCGGTGATTGTCCGAATTGGAATTTTGCTTGCACTCTTATGACACAGTGATCGTTCGGTTCAATGTATATATTTTTGACTATTTTCACCACTTTTTCCCACGTATGCTCACGTTTTCTGTCTATTTTTTATTTGACATGCACAATTTATTCCGCCCCTATTGCTGAAATTTTTTGTATTTAACTTCGTTTGTATTGTCGAATGAAATTTTCATGTCTTTATATTCTTTGTCTGTGTATTTTAGTAGTTTTGCTTGCTCTTCCTTTGAACTGCACGATAAGATTTTTGCATTTATGGCGAAGTTCTTTATGTGATGCATTGTCACTTCATAATTTATTTATTTTTTCTCTCTTTTTTTTTTTTCGATGATTTGTGTTTGCTTTGAAATTTATTAGTTTTGTTTGTCGATGATTTTTCGTTTGTCTATGATTCCGGTAAACCAGTCACTATGTATGTCCGAGTTTTCTTTTGTCGTCAGCGCCAATTGTAACTATATGAGTAATATAGTGGCGGCAATTAGTTGGAATAGATGATTAATAACTAAATGAAATAAAGCTATGTTCGGTTATATTTATGATAATTTTATTAATTCGAAGTTTGAT